ATTGGACGATGCTGTCGGTCTCAGTGAGTCACGGTGGTTTAAACTGAGCTGATGAAGGAAAACATTTAAATAAATGTAATTAAGTGTTGAGACGTGTGGGTCAAACTCAGAGTCCATGACAGACGCATCACTGAGGCATCACTGAGGCATCACTGAGGCATCACTGAGGCACCGATCCTTCAGCTGAGACAACTCTACACTAACACACACGACTGAGATCAGATTTATTTGACAGATCAGAGTAAATATTAACGATGAAGTCAAAACTGATGAAAGCAAAAACAAGTCTGATTAGATATGGGTCAGGTGACACTTTGAATTCTTTGAGGTGTGAATGTAAATTATCATTAAGTGTCACGTCTGTTATCACACGTTCTGAAAATAAGAATTATGTCATTATTGCTGAGCTCTGAGCTGCTTTATACTGACAAATAAAATCAAATAAATTTTTATTTGAAGGGTTAAAATGAAGCAGGTTGTTTCAGCATGTCAGTCTAACAGAGATCAGACTGAAGTGTGTTAAACAGAGGAGCGCTGTTACTCTGTAACTGTAACAGTTAATTAAAAGAGCATAATAATGAGTTTCCTCAATCATTGATGCACTTTATGAATAGCTGGAGCCACCTGGTGGACAAATACTGCAACTGCACTGTGCAGGTTCCCCATTGCTGCACAGCAATTACCTTCTTTATCAGCCTTATCTCTTGCTTTCTTGTGGTCAGTCTTTCTTCTGTATTCATTGAGAGACTTTAATGCTGATCCAAAATTAATTAATTAAAAAAATAAATCCCATGTTGGAGGTGGGTGGGCATGAGCGATGTCGTTGTTAGTTTCTGTATGTTTATTAGTGAAAACATCCTCACAGTGGTAATTGTATTTTCTTATAAGCAGTACTAGCATGTACCCTGAAAGTTACAGCCATTTAGGTGCAGTAACAGTAACTTCATTCCAGGGGTCGGCGACCTTTCTGATGGCGAGCGCCATTTAAAATCTCCTCAGAGGTCAGTGTGCCATATGACTGCATTAGCAATAAATTTAATAACGCTCTATATTAACAGTTACACACTATATAGAAACACTTTATAGATTATATTTGTTCACAGATGTTGGCAGCTGTCAGTGAATAGTTATCAGCTATTATGAAACCAAAAAGACTTTTTATCCATAACAAGAACTCCACAACAGCAAATACAGAAAATACAAATGCTATTTATGGTCTCCTCACAACAATGATAAAATAAACTGGGTCAATATGTTTGTTAATACAGAAACACACATGTTAATGTGATCTCTGGTCTCCCACTCAGAGACACTGGTCTCCCAGTGTCCAGCATTCAGACCTGAGGACTCATGTGAGAGAAAACCTGCTCACATAGACATGTGGAGCCAAATACTGTCCATAAGGTCTCTGCAATGTTCTGAAGACAGTTAAACCTGTCAGGTAGTGACGTCCAGCAGGTGAACATGCAGCTCCATGAACACACAGCTGTGATTCCAGCTGTTTCAGTGTTATATGTGTGATTTCTATACATTTTATGTCAGATAAAAGCTTTGGTTGTAAGATTCAGATAATTATTTATTAAAAG